CTCTCTCCTGCCCTGTCAATATCCAAGTCATTTCTCCATGACAAGTCATTTCTCTCCTCTGTTTCCCTTCACTGAACAGAAAGACTTGAGATTAAGGGGTTAGAAGAGAGTAAGGAGGCACACAGTGGGAAATATATTTAGCCATTTGCCAAGCATGCTCACAGCTGTCAGTACCAGTACATTGCTTTCGAATTGTATTTCTTGTAGTATGCTTCATTCTCTTCTAATCTCTTCCTCTCCAATGATAGAAGCATTTTTTAATTACATAGTGCTGGGGGTGAAAATTACAAAGGTAATGGTTAGCAGGCAAATAAAAGCCAAAAATTGTAAAATTATTACTCTTTTGTCAGTTTCAACCGAGAAAGCACAATCATGGTTATGTGAATCCACTTTATTTAGCAACCATGTTGCTAGTCCCCATTGTAATTGCTAAACTAGGACTACCTATAAGTGCACGTAGAATTGAAGCCTAAAAGTGCTATTGTTTTAGAGGATAGATTGTACTATTTTTTTAAATTATTTAAAGACAAGAGACTATTATTAAAAATTAATATCCAATACAGTATTGGCATTATTATTAATACTATGTATTAATTTTTTTAAAAAAAATCTGTAGATAAACTTTGGAATCAGTTATGAGAACCTGGCCAAATCATTTTACAAGTCTAATCAACCTGTGGATTGCCAAAGTAATAGCTCCTGGGTTAATAGAAGTACAGTGTGCTTGTTTATATAGAAGCATGCTTGAGTTAACTAAAGATTCTTCTATTTGTTTTGAAACAGACGTGTCTCCTGATGAGGCAGCAACATGAAGCAGCAGCTTTAAATGCTGTTCAGAGACTGGAATGGCAGCTTAAACTACAAGAACTTGATCCTGCAACTTATAAATCAGTCAGCATTTATGAAATCCAGGAATTCTATGTTCCTCTTGTGGATGTTAATGATGACTTTGAATTGACACCTATATGACAGCTAGCATTTCTTGCTGTTACAGCTCAAGACTGTGGGATGCTTAAATTACAGCACTAAAATGGAATACTGCCTTTATCAATATTCCATGTATTCCTTCTGAAATGTGCTCCAAATCTCATTCAGTATTGCACATATAAATACCATTTGTTAATAAATGGTATTATTTTAGCCTCTGGGTTCAAAAAGCATCTACTCAATAAATCTATGACAGTCTTTTACTCAAGATTCAACAGCGCTGGCAGCTGTAAGTCCACCAAAAAGTCTTGCTATTTAAAACTTCAGTGGTTTTTATTATTAAACATAAACAACAAAAACCTGTGGAAGAACTTTTCAGTTTGTGGGAATGTGCAGAATGAGAGTGTCTATTCATCTTATATAATTTATAGGTTAACTGTACAGTTTTCTTTTTGGAAAAAAATGTTATATTGTTTTCATTTTTTAAAATAACTTATTTTATACATATTGTGCAAATGTAAATACTCTTGTATTTAATGTTCAGCCCTGTACAAAAATAGATATTTTAATTGTAAAACTGTTTTGTCTAATGTTTATTGGACCAAAATTGTTGTTGTTCTTATCTGTAATGTACAAACAATTTTCTTTTAAAAGCATGGTGTTTGATTCAGCTGCTTGTTCATCACCATTACTGCTAAGATTTGATACTGAGTGGTATTGCATGCTAGCTCAGTTGAATTTTTTCCCTACTACAGGGTACCTAACTGATTGAAATATTTGTTACCAATCCAATATACTGCTTTGTACAGCATCCATTCATTCAGACAAATTTGCATGAATCCCTTTTCATTGTAGTTTGTTGCAGTGCTTATTGGATTATGTCTTAACTCCACAGAGCCATTTGTCGTTTGCTCTGCTGCTACAATGCCATATTTGTGACTTAACTTGAAGAGAGTATTTTGTTTAAAATCTTTACAAGATTAGAAAACCAGCTCTTACATCCTGGTCCCTAAAGGAGTTTTTCAGTGTCCAATTTATTTCCTTTTACATGCCTCTCAATGAGAAATCTTAAATTGTATATTGTCTATTTTAATATTCCCTGATAGAAACATATATAAATAACTGTAAATAACTATGTTTAATAAATTCTATTGGTCATGCTAACAGATGTTTGAATCCTTGTGATTGTGAAATTTTCATTTTTGAAGTTTTATACAATTTGACAAATAAATCCTTGAAAGTTCCATGATAAGATTGTACTTGTATATTCCTATTATTTGTGAACATATAATTAATATTATGTTAGCAAAATGCCTGCTTTTGTTACGGGGAGTATATAGAAGGCTTTTAGAAATTTGGAGTCAGGACAGTCAACTTTGCCCAAGCTGAGCTTTGGAGCTTTCATAGCGGTACTGAGTTTTCATACTTTCTTTCTTAATCAACATCATTGAAAATGGATTGCAAATTGCTTTTGGGAATTAAGAACCTTTAGAAAGACAAGTTTTATAACACTGGGTGATTTTTCTTCAATTTTCAGTGAAAGAAGTTTCATCTAAGCTTAAGAACTTAACGATTAAAATGCCAAATAACATAGTATATAATAATTATATTTTCCTAAAATCTTATTAAAACATATGCAGATTTTTAATTTAAGGAATTTTTGCCCCAGAAAATGTGGATTAGCAACAAACCTAATAAGAGGACACTTTGAAAGCTGGTCACTAGAGGCAATTAGAAAGAACTGAAGATTATAATGAAAAGAGAACTACTAATACTGAATGGGGAAAAGCATTTTAACTCTGAAAAAAATTGAAGGATATTTGCAGAACTTGCTTACAGAATAACAGAGTTGGAAGGGACCTTGAAGACCTAGTCTAACTCCCGGGAAACCTTATATCATTTTAGACAAATTGCTATCCAATCCCTCCTTTAAGACCTCAGGTGTTGGAGAATTCATAACTTCTGGAGGCAAGTTCATTGTACTGATTCAATTTGTCAGGAAAATTTTCTTTAGTTCTAGATTGAATCTAATAAGTTTCTATCCATTATTTCTTCTCGTGCTCTCAAGTTCTTTGGAGAATAGGTTGTCCCTGTCTTCCTTGTAACAGCCTCTCAAAAATTGGAAGACTGCTATCATGTCACCCTTAGACTAGACTAGACATATGCAGCCTCCAGCCCTCCAAACATCTACAGTATGTTGCTCTCTGCAGTCTATTTGGCAACAATGTACTTATAAATTTAAAACTGTCTCATATAAAACTGAGTTCAAAAGAGGAGATAGGATACAACTGAGAATCAGGCTATTTTGGATATGGGTTTAAAATTACAGTATAATATTGACTGTTATACAGGATTTACAACTGAAACCGGTAACATTTTAATTGTTAAAAGGGACACACAAATCAGAATACTAACTTGGATGTGTGGATTTCAACTAAGACGAGTGACTTGGATATCTTTCTTATTTTGGACTTACAAAATGTTTTATACCTTTGAAGAAATTCCTGAAAAAAGATGAATTAAATCAGCTTCTAGAACAATATTTAAAATGAATGAAGATTAAACTTTGAAAATTAAAAATATTTATGAAGTTGACTTATTCAACCAACGTGGATGGGTGGGTGGGTGTTTTCTTTCCTAGTATATTTTAATGGTGTTTTTTTTTTAACCAGGACTAAAATAAGGCTTTAAAGACTTGTTTATACACAAAATATAGGAAGAATATATTGTAAAAGTTTTGCTCCTTCCTCCTATTTTCCCTTCAATAAAACAACCATGTGAGGTGTGTTGGGCTGAGAGAGAATGACTGGCCCCAGGTCACTCAGCTGGATTCCATACCTGAAATGGGACGAGAACTCAGACTTCTGGTTTTTAGGCCACCACCTTAACCACTACACCAGACTGGCTCTTCTCAGTTCCTTGGTGCAGTTCTTCTATCCACAGCAATCAGCTGCCTGGAGCATTTGCTACACTCAGTTTAAAGCTGCCACTAGGCTTGTTTGTATATAAGCACCAGAACTGAAGATCCTTTTTTCTTTGCAAAAGGGATATAGGTGAGAGAAAGAGGCAACTATGGTCTCAATAAGTAATACTGGCTACTTAAGCCCTTCGTGAAGCTTGGCTTAACTGCAGCAAACAATAACCACTGGCCTATTTTTTCTAGTCAATCAAGTGCTGGGTATGCACATGATAGATCACGATTCAAACAAGACTGAGTAAAGCCCAAATTGGCTCCTTTCAAATAATAGCTAAAGCACAAACTATGTTTTACACAACTGTTGGGATTCACACAGCAGGCAAAATCAAGCAAATCACCTTATGGTTGAGATATGTGTATGGATTATGATTGCCTAATAATACTGTTTTTTTTTCTTATTTGCTCACGGCATTAATTTATACAAAAGGCATGTAGAAGGGGACCAGGCGACCCTTCTAGCCAATCCACAAAGAATTAGATAATGTAGCAAGCCCGGAGAGGAGACCAGGTTATTGTGTCTAGCACCTGTGGCAAAGAGCTTTTCAACTCCTGGGCCAATATCAGTTAAGATGACCTTTGTTGTTCTTTTTTTTTCTGTGAACACCCTGGCGCCCATTTTTTAAAAAAATGCTCATTTTATGCTGTTGCCTCACGCATACGGCAACACGGATGAAAGAAAAGCAACAAACTCCTTGCTTAGCTCTGCAGAGAGAAATACTACGCGTGTGTATTAGAGTTGAACTTATTTTTTGGTCCCGTTTTGCAGACGTTTCAAAAACGAATACGTGGACACCACAATCCAGCAACAGGTCGGGTGGAGACGCCGCGCAACTCCTCAGGGTCACCAGTGGAAAAGCCCTTCGCGTCTTCTGGGGAGTGGAGAGCACAATCCAGCAACAGGTCGGGCGGAGGCGTCGCGCGGCTCCTCAGGGTCACAAGTGGAAAAGCCCTTCGCGTCCACCGGGGAGAAGCGAACCCCTTTTCCCCTTCGGCGGGAACTATCCTGGATAGAAGCCACCTCGCTGAATCCAAAGGTGAGCTCCGTGGCGTCGTGGAAGGGACCGGCTTACCAACGAGGCCGGTCTCCTGGATGGACAGGTCTCTCTCTCCCCAGCGGCGCTTTCCCGCCCCAGAGTGCGAAGAGGCCAAAGGCGCGATGCGCTCCAGGACCTTCTGAGAGGAGACGGCGCGTGGGCGAGTCCCTCTGGCGCCGCGAGGTGTGTGCGCGCGCGCGCGTGTGTGTTTGCTCTGTGTGGATGTTTAAGGCCGAGAAGGAGGAGACGACTTGGCCGCGCTTTGCCCACCTCCCTTCGCAGCCGGAGCGGCTCGGAAGGCAGCCGCCGGGGCCTGTCCCTTTAAGGTACGACGCTGCCCGCCCTCCGGCCCTGTGCAAAGGCAGCCAAGCGGTGCCGCAGCCGAAGGAAAAGAGTTTGACTCTCCTCGCCCCGGTCGCTCCGCAAGCTGAAGCCAGGTGGCAGCTGGGGGCGAAGAAAGAGGGTGGTCGTCAGGGAAGAAGCCGCCAGAGAGTGACGAAGGGGCCTCTGAAGGAGGGGAAGCGGGGCGGAGGTAAGCGAGCCGACCCGGCGAAGGGTGAGACCGCAGTGGAAGTATGTGGGAGCAAGCAGGGCGGGGGGGGGGGGAGTGTTGTCCCTTTAGAAAGGCGGGAGGTGAACGCACGGACCGATTCACGCGGCTTTTTTTGTAGGCTCTGGAGCTTAGCATGGTCTTCTGTTTTCGAAAGTGGCGTTTGGTGCGCCCCCTGCCCTGAAGCGAACTTTTCTTTGAAGCCTGGATGGCCGAGAGCGCTGCTCCATCTCTCCAGTTGTCCTTTGTATTCCCTCCCTCCGCCTTTTGCTGGTCCAAGCTTGAGTTTCCTTTATGAGCCTCTTTCTGCTGCCTTTTCGTCCTCCTTCCCCCCGTGAAATTTCTCATCCCCCCCTCCCCCCCGCAGGCGCTAGACCCGACTTAGCCAGGCGAAGCAGATGCGCCCGGTGGGGAGGGGAGAGCTGGGGTTTTTTTTGGCTGGGATCGGATCTTAGCTGCCGCGTTGGAGGTTTCTTTTAAAGCCCTTTTTGTAAAAGTGCATGCAAGAGTTTGGGGGCTTACGCATTTGAGAAAATGTGCCTTTGCCAACTCTGTGGGCTTGACTAACGATTTACTGAGTCAGGCAAAAGAGTTTCGCGTGCAATTCAAGTGGAAAATAAAATAATATGGTACAGATGAACAGGTGTGAATGACTTCCAAAGTTTTTTTTTTCATTGCCCAGCATTAAAAACGTTGAAATGTAGAATCAAACAAATGTTCAGCTGTCTTTTGAGGGGTGGGGGGTAATAATACATTTTGCATTGTGAAAGATCTCATCTCTCATCAACTGATCAACTGATCTTTCAGTTGATAGACCAGTTTACCTGTAGGGAAGTTTAAGTGAAGGGCTGCCATTATGAAATTGTAAAAACTGAATTCAATGGGACAAGTTTCTGTTGACTAAAATTTCCAAAAGGTGATCATATGTTTTCTGATTATTGCCCCAAAACAACTTTCCAGTAAGGAATCTAAAATGACTGTTCAGATTATTATCCCTTATTTTGTAACTCTTAAGATCATGTTCAGTAATGTAGAAAATTAGCACCCACCCCTCTCCTAGAAGAATGAAATATTCTAGGAAATATTAAAAAGGCAGAATATTATAATTCCCTGGATGAAGAAAAGGAGAAACATGTTTTAAAGACAAAGCAGTTTCTTGCAGTCCCTGCCTCCCCTTCAGCTCCAGGGTGATGAGATTAAGACATGGCCCTCAGGAAATGATAGGATTACCCATCTCACCACATGGCACCTGGGAGATAACATTAGCTAGCGCTCAGGTGAAGCCATGTGGTCCAGACAAAGTCTACAAAGTTAGCTAAGACTCCCGCCCCTGGGAGTCTGACAGCCAATGGGATACATTTCTTGCACAAGAACAGGAAACACTAAGGTGGGGCCCAACAGAGGGTATGAAACCAAGGGATTCTCAGCATCCCTGTCCTTTTTGCCCAGGAGCTCCAAGGCATATGGTCCTGTCCACCATTAAACCTTCTTTCCAAGCAACTTCCATGAATCCAGTGTCTTTTTCCCCACTTGGAACTGAACCCAGAAGGATATTTCTTCCAACGGTATATAAAGAACAATAATTCAAGAAAGAAACAGAGAGATGTTTGTCATTTCAGTTTTTTTTCAAGTTGCTTTGCAAAAGTTCAGGTGTATCTAGTGAAAAGATGGTAGAACTTGTTCAACAATCAGGAACCCCCTCCCCATTTTTTGTTTGCTTTTTTGTGTTTTGATGTTTCTCAGTTGCATTGGAAAAGAGTATGACAGGGAAATAGTAAGTAGATAGATTATTTGAGTAAGTAATATAACTGAATTAGAAGCAGAGATGCAAAATGCAGAGATTAAGTCACCTAGTATATCCTTTATCAATATAATATTCTGTTGATTAATATGTGGCACCCATCCAATTCAGGAGTCTTGTTTGTAAAGTAATACTTCTATATAGCTGGAATTGAAATGAGGTTATGTTAAAACATGTTCCCATTTATCTGTCAGAAAGAATTCTACATTAGTTCTAGGCCTCCTTTTCCTGTTCCTTCTGTTCCTCCATGAAATAAATATGTTGCAAATAAATACTTTACCGTGATAGGATTGTAACTAAAATAATTATATTTATTAGCGTTTGAAGTGTCATGCTTTACATAACTTTGAAGTCAATGGAAAAATAATTGTCTTGACTTATAATTACATGATAATTTTTTTAAAAAAACATGCTGCTGATCTGAGCATAAAAAACTAAAGGGAAATGAAACAAAACAAACAGCCTTTGAGAATTGTGGGATAAGGATGAAAGAAGCTTCGTCTTTTGCTCAGAAAATATGGGCTTTTCATAACTACTTTTTATTTCAATACAGTTGGAACATTTTTTGAAATCTCCCTCCTGAACAAAAAATGAGGTTGTGGTACTTCCCCGGCTTCCTCATAATCAGTTTGCTGTACTTCTGGATTCCATCGTCCATGTGCTGCAACAAAGCTCTCTGTGCTAGTGATGTCAGCAAATGCCTAATACAGGTATGAGATAATTTACACCTACACTTGATAAGAATCCAGACATTTTTCTGTAATAATAATTTTGAAAGAAGTGCCTGAAAGGAGAAGTTTTGTCTTGCGCTGAGGAGGTATTTATGTAGCTACCATGCATGTTGCCCTCAAACATAAGTGGGACGTTACAGGTAAAATATTTCAGTTGGAGGAAGCACCTGGAAGAAGATGGTTGAAAATGTCTGAAGGCCCTATCTACCCTATCCTTAAAATACTGAATTACCAGCTAAGATACCAGCTAAGATATCTCTTTGTTTTATCCAATGTACTTTTTTTCCCATGCTGCATGGGCTTGTCCATGAATTGAAAGTTATTACTTACTTCTCATTTAAACACATCGTAAAACTGGATCTCTGGTACAAAACCTAAAATTGCTGTGAAAACTGTATGTGACAGAGTAGATACAGGAAAAATATATTGATCAAACAAATATAAAAACTGTGAGTTTTCATGATTTTTCTTAATATAGGACTATAAAAGTTTACTATTCCATCAAAATTAAAATATTCTCTTTGAATGTAATTAAAATTATAGAACATGTTGCTATTACTGTAATTAACTTGGAATTAATTTTTGGAATTTGTTTTATCTACTCATAATTTTTTATATTATTGCAGATCAGGCTTATGTATATATACTTTGTGCAAAATATATATATATTAAAAACTCATAAGGTAGCATTATATTGTGGCCAGAAATGAATATATTTTATGTAAAATAGGCAAGCAATACATATTTTCTTTTGCTTTTTAGTTTTTTTGTAGAATGTTTAGAACTAAATAACATTAGGAAACATTAGGAAAAGCTGATGGATGACTAAGACTCTATGACTCAGTGAATATGGAAAAAGTTACATTCTGTATACTGAAATAAATAAGTATCTCATTTGGTGTTATTTGTTTACTTCAAAGTCTCTATAGCATATTAGTAGGATCCCTGTGGAAGCTGTGGTAACATTTGTTGGCAAACATTTGCAAAAAAAAAACAGAAATCCAAAGGAGATCAAATACTTTTTTTACAGAACTATGTGACATGTTTATTTTTCTTTGTGTTATCTTTGGGAAGTGATTCTAAGGATAGCATTGGGTAGTTCATGTTTACTAAATGTTGTATGAATGTTTGCATTTATACAACCCTTGCTAGTTTAATTTTACCAATTATATAGACTTTTCCTAGTATCGGAGTACAGAATTTAAGTGTACATGCATTGATGATGTTGAAGCATTGGTCCTAGTTATATTCTTATGTCTGGAATATGCTCATCATCTCTTTAGCCAGATCGTCACTTAGAAAAAGTGGTCAAAGTAAAAATATCTCTGTAGGGAAACATAGATAAATGACAGACAGTTTTGAAGCATATAATAATAAAATGGCCAGTTTTTCCAGTAACATATCACCAGAATTGTAAGTTCAAAAATGGATCGGAAAGAAATCCAAAAATATATTTTCAAAAGAGATGAACAGTAATAGAATGGCAAACATGAGTCAGCATAGACAAATGTTCCAGAATGTGGCAAAAATCACCAGGAAGCAGAAGGTAAACATAATTTATCATGATAGGTGCATGTTACCATCCTAACTTACTTTTGTCTTTATTATTTTCCTGGCAACATGGATGCTTCTGAATAAAGCACTATGTTCCAACAATGTTTTTTACTCATCTTTATTATTTTTATAAATAACTCAAATACCTACTACTCCTTCCTCCTTCTGTTTTCTACACAATAACAAGCCCTGTGAGGTGAGTTGGGCTGAGAGTGACTTTTATGCCCAAAGTGCAATTAGAACTCACAGCCTCCTGTTTCTAGCCTGGTAACTTAACCACTAGACCAAACTGGCTCTTTATATCTTTATTATATTTGCTTTAAATCTTTTTATTTGCTTTCTAAAAATTCTTAGTGCCACCTCTTGTACATACAAATGAAGATGGTAGTGCACAGTTTAATTTTTCAGGAGCCAGATTTCATTTAACCTAAATAAAGATTAGTCAAAGTATGGGCATGGATGCCAAGGGAAGTTTTTGCAGGCATTCTGGGACTCAGACTCATCTCATTACCTACCTTTGAATTATGCAATAATTATCCTGGAATAATAACCCCTGAACTGCAGCAGTTTGGTAACTGTGGGTGAATTAGAATTAGAAATGACTAATTCATCAACATACATACTCTAATTCTAACACATACTTGAGGCTTATTTCTTGGCTGTTTTGCATACTGGTTTCAAGTAAACCTTAAACCACAAAGTTTTGTTACTAAGCTCAAAAAGTTTGTATTTCCTTTTTTTCAGGGGTGGGATTCATTTTTTTAAACAACTGGGGGCATGGCTTAGTTGGTGGGCGTGGCTTGGTGGTCATGTGACTGGGTGAGCATGGCTTGGTGGTCATGTTATTGGCTGGATGTGGCCAACTCAATATCACTCACATCGAGGCACTCATCTCCTCGCCTGGCCTCTCATGACTGTGGGGATGCTGCAACAGTCATAAGTGTGAAAAATGGTCATAAGTCATTTTTTTCAGTGCCATTGTAACTTTGAATGGTCACTCCACACAAGCAAAGTACCAGCAAAGGAGGGGAAAAAAAACTCCAGAGAAGTTCCAGAAACATGAAGTCTAGTCCTGCCAAGAATGTAATAAGGGTTAACAGAGAGGCAGTTTCGTAAGCAACACCAGAATGTTTCCTTGCTGTGTTCCTTACAGGATTAGGCCAGTAATTTCTTCTAACAACCGGTACTCCGAACTGCTTAATCACTTCTAGCGAATAGGTACAAACTGGTAGAATCCCACCCCTGCTATTTTTATATTGTGAAAACAATTCAGTGTACTTTGCTTAGTATTTTTTTTAACATTGAGCATCAGTTTTATAATTGTAACTCTCCAGCTATAGGCAATACCTTTTTTGAAACTATATTTTAAATTAAAAAGAAAAGGGAAAAAGCAACTTCCAGAATGTGAGACTTTACTGAAATTATAGTGTTTAACACCAATAAGGCTTCATTGTAAATATCTTTCAGCTTTTAGAGAGAACTGGTATATAACATTTAAGCGCTTAATCTTTTGCCCCATATGTTAAAGAAGTAAAGATGAATATACTTCTGTGTGATTAAGTATACTTACTAATAGTCCTATGAGGAAATTCTTCACTCTTATCAAGTTAACAAATTGAATAATTTGTTTTTAGAAACCTTTTCAGTTTTCTTTTTTAGTATTGAACATTTTTGTAATTTTCATAATTAAATTTAATAATGAACTTTTGTTTAAAACAAACCTTAACAAAAATACAGTTTTGGCACATTTCATGGTTCACTGACAGTTCAAACAGTAATTAGTGTATTGATAAAACACCTTAATTTATAAATACATTATAAGGAATTACCCCTAAATTAAGGTTCTTTATCTGAAAAAAATATCGTATATAAAAGCCCTGATTAAATATTCAAGTTTTGGTGGATAATGTGTAAGTTAAGTTACCCTCTGAGATAGAAGTATTTGATTTTTATAAGACATTTGTTTTCTATAATAAGAACTTTTACTGAAGAGAGGGGGATCTAGTATTAATCAATTTCTTTACTTCATGTGGGTAGAAAAGATTGCATGAACTGTACTCCATTTTATAGAATGCAGGGAATGGTCGACATAAATATTTATCAGCTGTGCAACAGATGTGAATGAAGTCAACAATCTTGTATTGAAACCTACTTGATTTGTTTTGTCTTGCTGGATAGTTCTCTTTAAACCCTGTTCAGATACGATTTCAAAAAAGTATCATAAACTTTTCAGCAATCTCAACTTATTTAACTCATGAAGAAAATGAGTTCATACAAAAATTAAATCTCTAAACTGTAACAATATAAGTAAATATATTGTTTCTAGCAGATCATATTGATATTTCCAGCAAATGAATGACAAGATTGTGCCATGATATGATTTGTATTGGTGAGATAAGCCATGGTGAATCGAATTCAACATACTGTGACTTTTCTTAATGCTTAAATCCAATCTCTTGGGTTCTTATACCATAAGCAAAAAAATGGGGACTGATTTTGGCTCAAAGCTGTGAAGTCAGCTTTGAATGAACAACGAAGTCATCGTTTCAGAGATATTTCTGTACCAGATTCTTCATTGCCTTCAAAGAAAGTAGAATTCTAATATACTGGAAAAGTTCCTAAAAAATGAGGGAGATCTTCAGCGATGTATCTGCCTTGTGTATTGGCATAGTCAAGCATTGGGAATTGTCCACAGGAAACATTTTATGACATTTTGTGTTATGTTATAAAATGCTTAATGATAATTTTATGTCCTAAAATGTTTTATAAAATTTGCCAAATTTCAATTCCACTGGAATAATTGGTCATCAATTTCAGATGCATTCTGGAAGTTAATCCTTTGAGAGACGGTGGTTGGAAAAAAAAATTGCTGTATAATGCACCATTTTGCCCAGTTAAAGATTACAGATATGAAAGTTTTAATAGTTTATAGATTGCTTAATATTGTATCCTGGTAGCAGTATGATACATAGATCTGTAAAAGTATAAAATAAGTAAATATATGTATATATCTGCATCTGCTCTTGTCTTATTATGAGATTAGAAATGGGGCTGTCCATAATTTGTAAAGCATTTCCCAAGAATTGAGTATTATCCAAAGTTCTTTGTGGGGACGAGGTGGGTGGGTGTTGTAATGAAATAACTTTTATCATGCCATGCTTCTACTGTATATATGCATTATCTAGGAGCTGTGTCAGTGCCGACCTGGTGAAGGAAACTGTTCTTGCTGTAAGGAGTGCATGCTCTGTCTAGGCACACTTTGGGATGAATGCTGTGACTGTGTTGGTAAGTTCATGTTTTTTTCCCCTATACCAAAACCAGCTGTTTTCAGTAGTAATTTTCAATGATTTAACAGCTTTTAAAGTTTATGCCAAAAGGAGCTACAGGTAGAATAATGGGTATTTTATATTTAATTCAGTGTGTACATGAATGTAAGATTATCTATTTATGAAGGAGGAAGTTACTCATGAAGTAACTCTTGGTGCTTTAAGCCAAAATTCATGAAATGTGTAGCTCATCCTATATTGGAGGAAAAACTTTTATTAGGGTTGAGAAAAGATAGTGTATGCTGAAAATCTTTCTGAAAAACATTGTTTTGATTAGTGTTTTTTTTTAGAGTTGGAAAACAGTGGTTTAAGACATAATGGATACATGCAACCTGCTAGATTAGACTAAAATGGGCTTAAGTGCTTTGTGAGTCAGCATGTAGGAAGCCAGCCATTGTATATTGAATGTTGTTTGAACAATGCAAAAATCTGAAACTTTATTTTGAAATGTTTAATTTTTCATTTAATTTTAATTTGTTTTGAAATTTTTTATTTGTTTGAATGTGCAATATACTATGCAGACAGGAATTAATGTTTAGTTAACCCAACCATAATGTAACCTGCCAGCTATCATTATACTCTGTAGTGCTTAATGCATTTTTCTTCAGTTTTTCATTGCTATTAAATGTTCGTGAATGGTATAGGCACACCTATCTGCTTATGGGAATATGCCCATAGCAGTGGGCAGAACAAAGCTGAGGATTTATTAATGTTGATTGATTGGAAGAAATCTCAGCTTGGCACTTTCAGCTGATATTAAATGCTAAATTCCCAATTGTAATGAAGTACATTGAGGCCTTAAGGAAAGCTGAGTCTTTATTTTCTAATGTTGTTTTGGGGAAAGATGATCCTTTCCACATATTTTATGGCCGCATCACACTGTGATAATGTTGATCTGCTGGATGTTGTGAAGGAGCTTATTCTTGCTGCAATCTGCCAAGCCAATCTGAGAGTGAATTGTTTGTTTTATGAAGACTTACTGAGATAGAGTTAGGATTCATTACAAGCTAGATTTGTCTGGAAAGAGAACGAGGAGTCTCTATTTTTAGGAGTCTCTAGACCAGTTCATAAATTATGGGAGAAATTAGATTGCAGTTTCCTATGATTTGAAATATATACAACTCAGAGGTGGTATTCAACAGGTTCTGACCAGTTCTGGAGAACTGGTAGTGGAAATTTTGAGTAGTTCGGAGAACCGGCAAATACCACCTCTGACTGGAGATTTTACAGTATCCTTCCTCTGCCACGCCCACCAAGCCACACCCACAGAACCAGTAGTAAAAAAAAAAAATTGAACCCCACCACTGATACCACTGCAATATCAGTAAAAAGGAGTTGTAGAATATAGGGAATTCTTATAACTACTTGTTACATAAAAAACAGCAGTTCCCTAAGAAAGTAATGAACAACACTGGTATGGAAAAATGTGCTATCCATCCACCCCTGTTGTTTTTATTGATGTTACTGTAGGGATTTAGCTGGAGTGAATTATCTGGTTCCAATAATTAAGTGAATTCCTGCTTGGAAGAATAGTTGGATAAGAAAGTTTCACTTCTTATAAAGCCAGAGCTTCCCAGACAAAGAATGAAAGGTGCAAAAAAGTAGGGCCAGATTTAAACTCCAGTGAGGATTTAAAGGGGTTGACAGAAGACAGTCAACTGCTCATAAAGCTAATTAGGCAGTGACCAATTCTTATCTATCTTGTTTCACTGTCACAACTGCTAGTATAGATTCTTCTGAAATTCAAGCAGGGAACTTTACGTGACTCTGCTGACTTACAATTTCATCTTCAGTAAAAATGAGTGGCAGCATTTAGTATACTCCCACTTACCTCAAAGTTACAACACAAACTATATTGTGGTCATAGCTAACAGTATTATTTTAGATATTGTTACATTTCTGAGCGCTAGATTTACCCAGCTGTTAGTTGCTCTGGCCAACTGTCTCTAAGGACAAGGAAATATTTTTCTATTCATCTGAATTGTGCAGTTTTTTTAAAAAAAAACAATGCAAAATTGCAGGTGTTCTGGGCCATCATCAAAAGACAGGCTACACATTTATGAACAACAAAGAAAAGCTGGTTCAGGTTTACAGTTGTGTGTTGCTGTACAAAATGGAAAAAGGAAAAAGGAAAAAGTATACAATGATGCTGTAGTTATGATTAGTTAGAGAACAAGGGATCAGGTGCTTGAATTGCTCCTGACAAATTTTGGATTTCTACTATGTAAAGTTTATACTAAAGTTCATTAGGTGATTATAGTTCAGGGGTGATTAAGCTATTTGAATCTTAAATTGCTGCTTACATGTTACTAAAGGATATGTGGGTAACCATAGCAAACTGTTCTTAAGATCTGTTTGAGGAAGAAAACTGAAAAGAAATTACTGTAGATCATGCCCTAATTAAAAAGGAAAAGCAGCAATGAGCACAAATGCTATATAATGTCAATACTTTTCCATATAATGTTCAGTGTTTCTTTGCAAACACACTAGACTATTAGAGGGGCATAATATAACAGAAACAAAAAGAGATTTGAACTATATAGAGAGGTAGCTCTTGAAGTACAACCATTCAAATTTACAATGTCGTTGAAAAATGTGACTAAAAAGCATTCCTTGCACTTACTACTGTGATCAAAATTTGGGCACTTGGCAACCAACATCTATTTATGACAGTTGCAGCATCCTGGGGTCATATGATTGCCATCTGAGACTTTCCCAGCCATCTTCCAACAAATAGAGTCAACGGGGAAAGCCAGATTTATAAACCACGTGATTCACTTAATTGCAGTAATTCACTTAACAATTGCAGCAAAAAAAGGTCACAAAATTGGGTGTGAATCACTTAACAACTCCCTTGCATAACAACCGAAATTCTGGTCTCAATTGTGCTTGTAAGTTGAGGACTACCTTTAAGTGATTTCCTTGTATCATATATTGTCAAAGTATAATGCTAAACAATTACAAATTAAATTGCGTAAATTAAATTGCCCATTATATAATATATATTACTGCTGGATCAGATTATTAGTGCTAATATTTGTGTAGATACTATCAACAGTCATCATCTACTACAACATATTTTCACTTTAGATATTGGAATAATTACTTAAGATGTTCTCTTGAAACTTTATTTTAGTGGATGCATTGTATTTTTATAGTTAGCATAATATATTAAGGATTGTATTGAGTACTTCAGAAACGAAATGCAGTGAAACAATTTTTCAGACTGCAGTTTCATATTTAATTTATTTTAAATTGTAAAAGTGAATTCATATGCCTTGCTGTCTTTAGGGAAGAGTGAGATTCTGGTGCATTAGCTCAGTATTGGTGAATTAGCACATCCCAACTTGTGTGAGCAGTGGGCAAGTGCGTGCCCATGTGCTTTATTTGCATGAGTAGGTGACGCACATACCCCCTGCTTGTGCAAATGGAGCTGCGCCCGTGTGTGTGCCTGCCAACCATCCCCTCTCCTCCCCCCCACTGGTCCGCAAAACTGAAAAGATTGAGAAACTCTGTTCTAAGCCATCTCCATGACTTTCCATCCTTTTCTGGAGGGAGAGAATCAGGTTATATTGAAACTGTGGTATTGTTTGTTGCAACTGCTGAGTTAAAAAGCATCTGGATCAAAGATTCAGATAGTTGTATTTATAATCCTTGGTCTCTTCTTCCCCAACTTAAACAGGATGAAAAGTTCCTTTATTCTCATTAAAAGGGTCTTAATCTATTTAGTTTGTGGCGTTTAAGTTCAGGGATGACTCACATCCTGGTCAGCACTTCTTCACTCTCCTACCATCGGGTAGGAGATATAGAAGCATAACTAGCTGCACCAACAGGCTGAAGAACAGTTTCTACCTGTGGGCTGTCAGACTCCTGAATGGAAAATAACTTCATGTCAACATAGTAGTATGATAGACTTGCGGGGCTGGCGCTTTGTGCAACAAGGTCACATAGTGTAATAAGATTGGGATTGGGTTAGGGACTTCTGTCTTCACTGTGAGTTGTGTTGGGGGGCATGCACGAAGGGAGGCTCAGCTAATGTCATTGTACACATGTTGTACTCCGACAATAAAGGTTGATGGATAGATTATGACCATTGCAGCATCTACATGATCACATGATCAGAATTCAGATGCTTGGCAACTAATATTTATGATGGTCATGTGACCTTTTGTGACTTAACAACTGCAATGATTCACTTAACAACTATGGCAAAAAAGATCGTAAATTGGGGCCAAAACTCACGTAACAATTGTCTCGCTTAGTAATTTTGGGCTCAGTTGTAATCATAATTTGAAGACTATCTGATTTTTTTAAAAGAGGGAAAAAAAGAAAATGCTTTTTGAAATTCACCTTACAGCAAAATCTCAGAAGCAGCTTTTGTAAATGCCCATAACGTCAACTTTACTAACATTATTTCTCTAATATTCTTATGGGCACTGGTAGTTGAACAACTTGTCAACTTGTCTACAGGTATGTGTAACCCTCGGAACTATAGTGACACACCTCCCACTTCGAAAAGTACTGTGGAGGAGCTGCAAGAGCCGATCGCTTCCCTTTTCCGAGCACTTACAGAAGGCGACACTAACCTGAGCTGGAAAATTGTGTCCTTTTCTGCTGCGGAGGAGCTGTCACCTCATGAGAATTTAGTCTCAGTTTTAGAAACAGTGAACCATCCTCAGCATCACAATGTTTCCGTTTCAAACAACGTTCATCCTCCATATTCTAGTGAAAAAGGTAAAAGATTGTGGTTGAAAGATTGAATTTGGGGGGGGGGGGTATTTGCAAGTTTAAGCTTTTAAAATGAGGCGTGGTGATTTTCATCTTATTTTTAAAAATCATATAAATATCTCTGTTCCAAATATGGGAAACAACTATGTGCAGTGATCTATTATATTATTATAGGAAAAAAGATATAAAACCAATAAGGAGTTTATTTAGAAGTTTTATTTGAATGATCTATGATTTATTTAAACCTTGGTCAAAAATCTATCTTCTGCTTTGGTCACTTAGAACGCATATGTACTGTGGTTTACTTTGATGACTGCCTGTCAATACACCAATGCAAGATCTCTTGTGACTCTATGGGTGCCTCCAAATACCGATGGTTTCACAACGCCTGCTGTGAATGTATTGGACCTGACTGTGTCGACTACGGGAGTAAAATTGTAAGATGCTCAAACTGTATGTTCTGAAATTAAACTATTCAATTTTAATATGGCAGACACCAAAAAATGGATGGGTGGGAGGTATACTTTGCATATACAGGTAGTTCTCAACTTACAGCACTTCATTTAGTGACCAAACTGAAACTGGAAAAAAGTGACTTATGACTGTTTTTCAGAGATACGATCTTTGCAGTGTTCCCACGATCATATGATAGCTTTTTGCAACCTTCTGACAAGCAAAGTCAACAGGGAAGCCAGATTTACTTAACAACCGTGTTACTAACAACTTCAGTGATTCACTTAACAACTGTTGTATATTGGGGCAAAACTCACTTAACAATTGTCTCCCTTACCAACAGAAATTTTAGGCTGAATTGTGGTCGTAAATTGAGAACTACCTGTATTACTTTGGATGGTACAGCTGCAGCACAGTTGAAAGGAAAGACATGTATAATATTTTAAATATGTAATTTTACACTTTAAATCATTGGAACAATTAATCAGTAAATGTTTAGATTTGGTTTTGATTGGGCAATGTATGAAGTTTCGTAACTTGGATTTTATTTCAGGCTATTGATTAATCTGCATGTATGATTTTAAGTAGATGATCATGAAGTTTTATCAGAATTATGATTTGAAATTCTGAATTAAGCACTATTTTATTTTTTGAGTTTTCACATGTGCCAGTTGTGGACTGTGAATTGCTTTTATATGCCATGCAGATTACCCCAGCAATAGCTATTTGTTTTTAAAAAGGAAAAGGAATTTAGATTGCTCTTTTGTTTTAAAAATTTACCCTCCTTATGAATAGCCCCTTATTAAAAATAATGATAAACTTAATTATATCCTTTTTATTATACCCTTCTTTTCTTTGCTTCCCTGACTAGCTAGTTCGTTTTGAACAAAATGGATATTAAATTATAAATTGTAGTAATTCAGAAAATATAAATAAAAACAATATGGAGTTTAGATTAAGTAGGAAATTATTTTAAAAATCATAGCCAATGCTATCTACTAAAATTTATATACTTGACTGCCCATTTTCCCATAGATTCTCATAATACACTATTTATTTGTTAGTGTTAACAAACTGCCTAATTTATTACTGTCATTTGCTGTTTATGCTTTTATATGAAAATATGTCTAGAAACTGATATTTTCATGATATTTGTGATTGCATTCAGGTTGGGATTGTAAAGAAATGGTTACTGTTCTCAAAGATCAGCGTAGGATTTTTCTAACTTTTTCAGGTGGAACCTATTAAAGAGAAAAAATTCCTAGAATCCCTGATCAAAACTCAAAGTTTAGGAATAAAAAACTGGCTGTGTTCCAAGTGTCCACAGAATCAATTTGTTTTCTGCAGAGCATATTTAAAATAATTCTGGAGCACTCGGTTGCTAAATAGGGTCCTGCAAAGCCTCTTCCCATCTCCAACAGACATTGGAGATTTAGCCAAAAGTTGTTTCTACTGCTATGCATTTATCGGGTGAGATAACATCAGGCAGCTTCACATGGAACAGTTGTTTTCCAGGCATTCAGTACCCAGTTGAAAGCACCAGTGGTCCTCGATTTATGACCATAATGGAGCCTGGAATTTCTGTCTTAAGTTATGATGGTTGTAAGTCAAGGCACCCATGTGAATGGACCTGAACTCGTGTATGTGTTTTTGAGGTGATCATTAAAGTTAATGCTGCAATCGTTAAGTAAACACTGCAATTGTTAAGCAAATCCATGTATTCCTATGGGCCTTTTTTTGCCAGATTCTGGCTGCAAAGGCCAGAGCATTGTAAATATTGTAAAGCATGGTCATGTGACTGCGAAATTCTGCAACCAGCTGTAAAGATGATCCAGATATCAAAGCACCTGAAATATGGTCATGTGACAGCAGGAAGTGTGCAGTCCTCGGAACTCCACAACTCGCTTTTGGATGGGAGGTTTGTCTCAAACAATTGCTTGGTACAGTTAGGACAAAACAGGATTACCTGTATCTAATATTTCCAAATGTGAGCTACAGTTAAACCTTGGTATATTTTATCTAATTTAAGACAGTCTGAGTGGTAAACCTCAATACTTTTCATTCAGAACTAGTATATAGTTGTAACACTGGATTTCCATGGGGAAAAGATATAGAACTGCTTAAAGAAATAGTCTGTAAATAAAATCTTTCTCCTTCCTTATTCCAGTTCATTTATTTTGCAAATAAATGGCCTTACATCTTTGATGGCTGGGGAATTCTGGGAGTTGAAATTTATACATCAGAAAATTGCCAAGATTGAGAAACAATGTTGTAGACAATAATTCCACTGTATTATTTTTAATTTCCCCAAACACCCAGGGCAACCAATTAATTGTTGTTCGCTGTGTCTTAACAAATTACAGCAAGAGATGATGAAATCAGCACTGCAAGTACTTCCAAATTTGGAAGGGGTGGGTGGGATTTAATCCTCTCAGATACAGCTCCATTAATACACAGATGACCATATTCAGCAGCTTCCCCCGCTCCATGTAGAGTTCTTTGATTTTATAATGTAGTATTCACAAGGTATATCTTATGGTCTTGCTTCCTGGAGGAAACACTAACAGTCCTATAGATAATTTTACTTGATTCTGTCTATAACAGATAATTAATTATACCTTAAAATGGAGGACTGGTATAACAAGTTATGCAACCGAGTAGCTTTTAGTCAATCGGTAATGTATTGAAATAGGAAGTCTGTTCTATAAAGTGGCAAAGACAATTGTTCAATTTAATAGTCTCGAGTAAAAAAAAATCTTTATATAATTTTGAATGCTCAGCCTGTAAAATGCATAATTCTGATTATTATTTTCTCATTCTGTTACGGTGGATTTATGAGATTATTGTAATAGTTTAAAAAGTATTGCAAGAAATAATTGTATTCAGAATGACTGTTGTAGAAATTCTTCAACCTTTAAATATGTATTAGAAAAAGTGGTTCTGTTAATCTACAGTGTAATTCATAATACAATTAAAATAATCTTCCAGATGAACATGCAATTACAGCAATAATTTACAACACTATTAAATATTTTCTTACTTTTTATATTGTTCAAGAATGTTTTAATAAACAACACCTTGTTTATCTGTTTTGTTCATTGTTGTCTGCTTTAATCAGTAGAGGAATTATTAATATTAGTTTGCTTGTAGGAATTTTTATACTGAACATGGCAAGCCTGCACTATTGCTAAGAAAACTACATGCATGTCTCAGTGAAATCACCATGGGTAAGTTTGACTCAAAGGAGAATTCAGCTTTAGCCATTTTGAATGTCTTTAGTGCAGCAAACTGGGATAAAAATAGTTTACAAAATGGATACCTATTTAATAGAATAGGTATAAGTAGATAGAGGAGGTCAGCCTCAGGTCTGGATAGAAGCTGTGTTGCTCTTGCTGTTTGATTATCATTGTCAGGTCCTAGGCAAGAGGATGTGCCTACCCAGAGAATGTGAGCTTTGTCTCCTAAAACCTATTAGCAACCTTGGATATCATTAATCATGATCAATCTGAGCTACCTGCATGATTGAATACTTGGGAGGCTATTCACAGTGGTTCTTCTCCTTTCTCAGTGGAAGAAAACAAATCATTCTAATAGCCTATGATGTGTGATGTGCCATGAGGTTCCGTTTTTTTTCCTTGCTAACCTCTACAAGAGGTTGTTGAGAGAAGTCATCTTTTAATTTGGAGTAAAGCATAATATTTTTGTGATACCAACTTTATGTCACCATTTCAGGCTGCATCAGTGATGAGGTTGAGACTGAAGGAGAATTTGGGGGCTCAAGCTAAAAATCCCTAATCCCTATCCCATACACTTCCTTAGGAAATACACGTTCCCAAAGAATTTAATACTGACTGCCGTAAAACATTTAGAAAAACCAAGGAATGCTGATAAGCTAGGAAAAATGAGGTGGTGGTGGGAGGGATAGGATAGGATAAAACCAGAAAAAAACTGGAAGGGACCTTGGAGATCTTCTAGTCCAGCCCCCTTGCTCAAACAGGAGAATCTATTTCATTTCAGAAATTATTTCAAAACCCCATTGTCGTTATAGTTCTGCCCTATTAACTTTTAATTACATCCTAATGTTTCACTGACCTCACTAGGCACATGACATGTTATACAGGTAGGCAGTCATTGGCTTACGACCACAGTTAGGTCCAGAATTTCCATTGTCAAGCAAAGCTGTTTTTAAGTGAGTTGTGCCCAATTTTACAACCTTTTTTTGCCTCCATTGTTAAGCAAATCACTGTAATCCAGTGAATCATGTGATCATTAAGCAAATCCAGCTTCCCCCATTGACTGTGCTTGTCAGAAGCTGGCTGGGAAGGTTGCAAGTGATAATCATGTCATCCCAGGACACCGCAACCATCGTAAATAAAGTTGCTAAACACCTGAATTTTGATCACGTGGCCATGGGGATGCAGTGATAGTGGTGAGAGTACTGGTAGTGAGTCATTTTTTTCAGTGATGTAACGTGGAATGATCACTAAATGAATGGTTGCAAGCAGGGGTCAGCTGCTGGGGGTTCGCAGGAGTTCGGGAGAGCCCCTAGCTAAGATTCTGCATAGTTCAGAGAACCCCCAAATCCCACTTCTGGCTGGCCCCTCCCCTCCCAGGAGTCCCCATGCAGCCTGTTTTGTATGCAAGTAAGTGCAAGGCTAGTGCGGAACCTCCGGGTGGGCAAAAACCAGCCCCCCCGAAGTTCGGGAAGGTTCATTTTCGGCTTCCAGAGAGCCTCTGGAGCCCGGAGAGGCCATTTTTGCCCTCCTGAACGCTCGAGGAAAGCATCCGGAGCCCGGGAAGGCAAAAACACCCCTCCCTGCCATGGTGCAGGAGGCTGACTATAGACCACGCCCACCCAGCAACCAGGAAGAGAACCCGTTGCTAAAAATTTTGAAGCCCATCCCTGGTTGTAAATTGAGGACTACTTGTAATAAATTAAATATCTTGCTGATGTGTACAATCCTATATATAATTTGCATAAGTCGATAAAGATGGATTGCAACCCCACCCTTCCTTAGGCCTGTGTTTGACTCCAGCAGTCAATAAAGCAAATTGTGCTTCACTGTATTGTGTCCTGGTCTCCTACTCAGGTGAACTCCCCAGGAAAATCTTTGTGCTTCGATTATAATAAATAATATATTATTTGATTATAATATAAAAAACAGGCTGAAACTGATCCCTCTAAAAATAAATTTGCTCTTTATTTATTGAGACTGAACTTAAGGCACAGTTCCTTCATTTGTGGTTTGGTTCGCCTTATCTCACAACTACTGCT